TATTATCAATTGTGTAGGATATTATGTATCAAAATCTTTTTTTGTGACGTGTTAAGAACTCTATGTTTTTTGAAGAGAAAATTCTTCAATTAAATCGAAATTTAAAGAATTAATTGGAAGCAGAAGGGAATGTGGATCTGGTTGTAGAGGTGGACGAATCGTTGGTCGTATGAATACGCGACTGTGACTAATACAGGAGACAGAAACGAGTGCCAACACTTCTAGATTGTGACGAAGAAAAGATTTGAATATCAACGTCTTATTTGACGCCCACGTTCCGTTGACATCGGTCAATGGCGCGTGCATTCACGTTGACGCACGTGCGAAAGTTTTACGCGTGATCTTTCATTGTATATGTATATACCAATATACGTATACAATGAAATATTCCAAACATGAAATTAAATTTACTTTAAATGTATTCATTATGTTTAATTGTAAAATTATATTTATTGTGTCTGATTTGACATAAAGTTACTTGATGATAAATTAAACACAAAATTAAAAAATAAATAACAATTATACAGTGTTAAATGAATTAATAGATAAAGTTTTAAATTTTGAAATAATAATTAAACGAATATCTAAATCGTTGACTATCTTTTTTGCTTTGAGATGACTCCTTTTGCCTACAAATCGATTGCCTACAATGTCATTTGTCTACATCATTTTTGTCGACGTTCATTTGCGCTTAAAAATTATTGCTTATATCTCGATGACTATATCCACTTTTGCACACAAATAAAAATTTTAGAAACCAAGTCACATTTACTTACATATATTATTGCCTATTATTGTCTACAGCTCGATTGTCTACAAGAACTTTTGCGTACAAATAAAATTTTCGGAGACGAAATCACATTTGCCTGCATTTGAAGAATTCCAAAATGCATTTTGTCCAATGAGAGAAAGAAAGAATTAGATAATTTACAATAGGCAAAAATAGTAGGATTGGTAAAGACTGATGTTTTTTTTTAAGAATAAAACGTATTGTGTTTTTTTTAAAATATGTTTTTAATGCTTCGAATACGCTTTAAACAGTACTGTAAAAAAAAAACATATTTAAAACATATTAAAAACATCAATTAACCATGTTTTAAACTGTTTAAAACACGTTTAAAACATGTTTTTTACCAACCCTGGTGTTCAGTATTGAAAGAGTCATACTATAAGCTACTCTGAGATGTTCAGAAGGCATTTTTTCATCGTTAATTTATATGCTGAAAAAACATAAACATTTCGAAGTGCATTATGTTTTTTAACTAGAGACGAACAAAATGCATTTGTTTAATATTTTTAGCAATTGTTTAGCAATTTTGTTTAATATTTCACATCTTACTGATTGGCTTATTATTTTCTATAAAGTGTTTAATTTTCTTGTATACGAAATTTCTTTCTTTTTTATTTTCTGAAAATTACAAACGGACAAAACACATTTTGAAAGTTTGCTTCTGATTTATTATTGCTCACAGCTCGATTGCTTGTACTATTCTCTGTTTTGAAAATATGAATTTTTTGTTTTAAAAACATAAATTCTCACAAATTCTGTTTTAAACACAAATTTTCTGCTTTAAACACGAATTCTCTGTTTTAAAACAAATTCTTTGCTTTAAAATACAAATTCTCTGCTTTAAAAATATAGTCAAACGGGATTCCCCTTTTGCTTTTATCTCTCTTTAAAATTTCGTCCGTATTATTGTTATAAACTGCATAATGATTATTATTTTTAAAAATTGAATTAGAATTATAATAAAATTGTAAAATTGTAAAATTGTAAAATTGGCATAATGCATAAATATGAGTATTATATTAATTTAAATTTAAAGGAAACTCTAGAATCATCGATATAAAGGTTGCATTAATTTTGGATATGTATTCTTCAATTTATGTATTACTAAATTATGCTTCAAGATATTTATAACGCTAAGCACATGTACGGGTACTTTGATTTTAACATAATTTTTGTAAATTAACAATCACATTTTAATTAACATATTCTTTTATTACTCTGCAGATATGATTGTGCGAAAGGCTCTTTTATTAATTTCGGATTACTGCGTACTAGGCTATGTAATGCAGGAAATGAGCTTTGTATGTTATTCGTGATTTTATGACTTTAATTTGGCTTCAGTTATGTAAGTCTGTCAACATAGATTCGCCTAATTACTTTGAAATCTGGTGTGAGGTGAACCAAAAATGAACGTATATGTGAACCTCATCACAGTGGGAGGAAAATTGCTTTTATATACAGAAAACTCTGAATGCCCGTTATCCTATATATATAATATCATGTTTAACTTTGCGATGTCTCCATGATTTCTAAGAGAAAACAATTCCATAAACTCTATAAAATCGTACTGAAGAAATAATAAACTGCATATAATAAATTTTAGAATCTCGTAGCAAACAGAAAGACCTAATAGTGTCAGAAAATTTATTTTTTTGATGTGTTTTTTTATGAAGATACTTTATCTTTTTATTTAAACATCACTACTATACTTCAACTTTTGTGATTGAAGTTCAGATAATATTCTCTCATTTCTTATGGATAACACATAATAGACCTCTAATTTCGTGTGTTGTTCTAGACTGACCTAAACTATATTTTTGTTGCTTCTGTTGATTATGATTTATTGCATTCTTGAATGTGAACTTTTTTCATCGATTGACAAAAAGTTAGAATTTTCGGACGGGTCGTTGCCACACGGAGGCTCACCGGTAGGATAATTTATAGACTCCACCACGCACATACGCGACGAACGTTATATATACGGCCTCTGGAATTTTAAATAGTATATTTATAACTCCAGGTCTAAGTTTGTCTTAAAGATTTCAGTCACAGATATCGTACTAGTTCGAGTTCTTTCATTCCATTCAGTTCTTCCTCGATTCACAAGTAGGCGAAAGGAAAGGAATTATTAAGAAAGTTTTCTTATTTCAAACTTTAAAATTTAAAAGTTTCTTGCTTTAAACTGTAGACGTTAATAATATAGTCTCTTGAATATTGTTTTCTTCAAAATTGACGAAGTTGTAAGCAAGTATACCATCATAAATTATAAGCGCTTCAATTAAGTATCAAGCAATTTAAACAAAGATTGTTTAATGTAATTAAGAAAGCTACAATTTAAAGAGAAAGCGAAAATCTAAAAACAAATGTCTTTTTTAACGAAAGATGTATAATTATAGAATAACTTAAGACTGTAAGATTAATAGACGCTTATTAGAAATCTTACATGAAATCTTTAATTAAAACTAATTTTTATCAAAACCTTTTTCCTCAAAAATTTTTTAATTAATGCTCGTAATATCTCAATAATGAATTGGCTTAAAAACTCCGCCAAAATATAAAATATTATTAATAAAGCATTTTTTAAATTAATGAAATGTTTCTTAAGGAATAAATTCCATTACAAGTTTATATATTTACATTCTTGAGTTTGTATTACAACTACAAGGGTATCGTTGACGTACTCGCACGCGCGTTTGTTGATGAGAACGGAAACGGATCTAATTCCGGAGTATGTTTCAGAAGTAATGAAAATGCAACGTCGTAAACGTCATCTTCTTGAAGCTCCTTTTATGGATGGTCATCATGGCGATATTTGCGATGTTTGCGTGGCATTTCTCGCGAAATGAATATTTACACAAAATTGTGTTCTAAATTAAATTCTCGCGAGAGTCTCGAATATAAGTAACATTGCTTAAATAATGTGTGTTATTAATTTTTTTTTAAATTATAACTCTCGAACTATAAATCAATGACAGTTTTAAAATTCTTTTTCTTTTTTATTCTTCTCGATGCTAGATAATAAAATAATTGAAAAGTTTTATTTACGGAAAGAACGATTTTGCTAAAATATCTAAAAATTTATATAGTCGCATATATATTTATATAGCCGCATAATTCTGAAAATAATTTTATTGCACTATCGAAATAATTATTTAAAATAATTATGTTAAAATAATTATTTAAAATAATTATGGAGTTTCAAGCATGATAATAATGCTGCAAAAAGTGTTGACATTTTAGCAACCAATTTGAGCATTCTTATATAATTATTTTAATATAATCTAATTAAATTATTTTCAGATGTGTATTTAGCTAAATTTTTAAATACTTCAACAAAATTGTTCCTTTTATGTTGCAATGAATATTGTTAAGCGCTAAATAGAAATGCAACTTGCCATGATAACGAAGTAGCTTTGTAATGGATAAAGCAGTGAATATCAACGACGGAGAATCTACAAATCTAACAGATCCTTAGATAAATTAAGATCACGTGGAATTTGTAAGGTGTTTTATCGATGTGGATTCGTGCCTTCGCGATTTACGCGCATTTGAGCTCATGCGATCCAGCTCGTATATCGTTCGTCTGTCAGTGACAAATTGTCGTCGGTCAAAAGTTAATTTAGGAGATTAAATTCGGGTTGTGCTGCGTTGAGTACACGTTGTACTCGTCGCCCTCTAGACATGTATACTCAAGTTTCCTGAATGGTCATGCGATCGTTATATGAAGGCCGCTAATTTCGGGAGACGTGCACGCGATCCGATATAATTGCATTGCCAATTGATTTATGGCTCTTTTGCAACATCGATTTTATAAATTTCTCTGTATATCATAATTCTAAGTTTGCAGACCATTATAATGGATAAAAAAATAAGTCAATTTCAGAATTTCTTTTTTGGAAATTAGAAATAAACATTTTACTGTTAAAGACTTATCTTAAATATTTTTATTATTACTATTATTAGTATTATTATTTTTATTACTTATACTATTCTTTTTATGTATAGAAATAGTTTGAATATTCAAGTTAAGTACAACAAAGATACATTTTATATAAAATTTTTTATGCCTAATAAAAATTAAATATATGTATATATGTTTGAAAAAATATTTTTCTGTATTTGTTAACACTAAATTTTGGAATTATGGTTCCCACAAATGATTAGTAAGTGAAATTTAGCGGATATAGAGCGATATTCTGGGAAATGTTAATATGCTCATTTTTCGTGAATTATATCGTACTAATCGTTTATTCGGTAAACAAACTGTTCCGTTTGCGATCTGATTCCCGAAAGCAGAATACAACATGAATGAATCTACATTTGCGATTGATGAATTATCATTTCCGGAGTATGCAGAAGGCCGTCTGGCAACCAATCAAGAGTCTGGGAATCGGCTCGGAAACATGGCAAATATTTCAGACTGCGCCGAAATATTCCACAGCAGGGTGGGAGCCCTTGGGACGCCGTCGGTTTCTTATAAAAAGAGCCGCGCAGCATCGCGACATCGTATTCGTGTCGGCAGTGCCGAGTGAACTTGGTATCGGAATACCGGAAGTGAAAATAGGGTGTTGGTTCAAGATAGTTTCTACTACTTGGGTGAAACACGCATCTTCTTTATTTTACTTCGAGTATTATTTTCTTGTGACTTTGAATTTAATCACGATACTATAATGTCTTCGATGATGTATGTGAGTATTAAACGTCTTCTTCGATTACATCATTCTTTGGAATTCAAATTAGCAATAGCTTTCTGAAGTAACTTGAAATAATTTGAGTTCCTTGAAGGAAAATTTTCAGATAAAGTCAATTATAAAAATATATATAATTTATAAATAATAAAAAATAATAGAAAATTAAGATGAGAGATATTGATGATATTGGAGATGGATAACATTACTTTAATACATTTTTACTGAATCATTTTTCGGTATAATTATTTTAACAAATTTAGTAAAACGTGGTATTGGTAATATTAATGTTTGATAAGAATATATATTTATAATAAATTCCTATAAATTTGTTGATCTATTAATTGAATGTCCATATCTCGTTATTAGCTAGGAACATTTTTTTGAAAAGATATCAATTTAAATTTAATTTTTCCTTAACATACAAAGAATTTTAATTCAAATTTTGCTTTTTCCGATACGAATGAATGTATGAGTGTGCGAGTGAATGTAACTACACACGCAACTGTGAAAATCTGTCAAGGTGCCATTGAGACGTCATTTATGGTCAGGGTCAATCCTTAGGCTCAGTTTGGCAAACTCCCAGAAATTCCTGTCTCATAAGGTGCTGAATAACTTAAATCCGTACAATTTTCGAAGCATCTTGAGTCTACGAATTTTCAGAATATAAAATTGATCTCTCTTCATTTTCAAATTCTACGCATAATACTTTGCTTGTACAAACAATTTTCCACGAAATGAAATATCTCTTGATCTATTTTGTCTTAATGAACTAATAATGAATTGATAATTAATTTGTCTCCTTGTGCCTTTGAAGGAATCTTTGGGGGCCAAGGTTGCTATGTTCAATCAATATGCTGACAAACATAGAGACAAGCAGAGCAAAAATCCGTTCAGTTCTGGTTTAGACATCGAAAAGCCGAAATTCTCAAAAGAAGAATATGGCAGGTATGTGAAATTTAAAGTTTTGTCATCATTTTATATTTTAATGATATTTATAATAAATTGATAACCATATAACTATTTTATATTAATTTATAGTTAATTAATTAACTTTTATTATTCAATTGTAATTTTATCATTATTAGACCAGAAGCAGGTTCTTTATCCGATTTACGCGGTCGCAAAGCGAATGCTCATGTTTTGAAAGAAATTCTGGAGCTTTGCGAAATTATTAGCCACGAAGGCACACCCTGTCGGGATCAATCTGATGTAATTGCCATTACATTCGGCGATATCTTTAACATTTACACAAATATTAGCAACAAATGTGTAGGATTGCTGCTGAGAGCGAGGAAACAGAAGTTTTTAGAATTCGAAGGCGAATGTCTTTTTCAAGTAAATGGATTAGAAGATTAAGTTTGATAAAAATTGATAATTAATTTATTGTGTTTTTAATATGGTTATATTACTCATTACTCTGTATTATATACATAAATTTAATTTTTCCAGAGAAGAGACGATGACGTACCAATATTTCTAATCAAATCCATCGAAGATATTCGTAAAGAATATAATCAACGACTTGAAGAAATCCGAAACATTGAACTGGATAGTTAAATTATCACTGTTTCTATTAATGTTATCAAATGACATTCGTGATTTTTGTAATCCAATTTGACTTGTATTTATTCATTTATATTTCACAGAAAGTAACAGGGATGACCAGTATAATATTTAATAATTTGTATTCAATTCGTCGGTTCTGTATATTGAGAATGAATGAATGCGGATCGGTGTAAATATTTTCGCGAGTGGCGCATGTGAGATATTTTAATGTGACATAATGTAGAACGATTAGCGATATAATTTTTATAGAAATATTTTACTGAAACTGTTAATTATATAAATATCTGGCGCAAAAAATAAATAATTGATATCTCATATATTCCATGTCTTTCAAAGATATTGCATTAAGAGAAAACAACAGTGATGGCAACTATTTAAGTTTTATATGTAGAATTAATGTATGTGGTTAAATAAACTATTTTATAGTTATTATAACTATAACATAATTTATTCAATTATGTGCATTAGTTCTACATAATATAAAATATTGTATAATTTATGCCGCACTATGTTTTTCTCTGAGTAAGCATAATTTTACAACAGTCCATATATACCGTAGATACATTTTTATCGGAATGTAACGTTAGGTTGCAAGCTGACGTTATTTGTTGTCTTTTTAATATTAAAGACGTCATTTTAATGTCAAGATGACGATATTATAACGCCAACTTACTACCTAGAAAGATATATAAATAAGATTATAATATAATCCTGATTTACATTTTCTTATCATTTCGAGGAATTTCAAGTGATTTTAAATAAGAGCAAATTTTAAAAGAGAGGAAAGAAAAAAGTATGCAAGCAAGATAATCGCATAATTTATATTTGTATATACAGTCACTTTACAACGCGCACTTTGTTACACAGTATAGCTCGATTACTTTAGGTCAGCGAACGCCAGGTGATCTCAGTACAGACGATATCAAAGTAAAAAAGAAAAATTAATTAATAAGAGGGGCGTCCTGCCGCGTATATCTCTCGCGCGAAAAAGATGGGCGACGACGCTGAATGGGATATTTTATGTCCATCCAACCGGAAGCTCGATAAGCTTCTTCAATGTGTTGCAGGACAAACGAGAGCCTCGTATCTTCACCGCGTATTCAGCGTTATGTGCAGCTGATTAAATTTAGTTACGAATTATTGGACTTGATAAAGCTGAATTGAAAACATTTACATTGCAATGTACTGGCAAATTGTTATTGCTAAACAAGCGGTGAGGATAGGAGACCGAATCTCTCGCATTTTCAAAGGCAGCTAGTTCGATACAGCACTCGATGATACGTGAATACTTCGATCATCAAAATGTACACATCTTTCGAGAAAAACATCGATAGGGTTTCTATCTCTATATTGGCAGTAGCGTTAGTCGTATATTGCAACGGAAGCCAACATATTTTCTTTCTTTCCATATATCTATCTGCGTTTTCCTCTGACTCGGTCGAAGTGGCAATTTTGTTTATTAAATAAATCTAAGCATGGACGTATGTAAAAGGGGGTAAAGGATACTTGTCTTTCCCTGAATTTAGCAAGAAAAAATAATTAGACTATTTGAAAATTATTTTTCCGATAAAAAGTTAAACTCTTATTGCTCAGTTTGTAGCTCATGTGTTTTTCGTAAGAAAAATTCGCTGAAGGCTGACTTTGATGTATTTTAATAAGTTTTTGTGAAGACGAATTTGTTCCCTCTCCCCCTAACTGAAATCCTGAATACGTCCATGAATTTTAATATAAATATTTGTCGCATACAATTTTAACGCTTCTTTGTAATTTACACTGTTAAATTCACAATGTTAAATTATACCCAATTTGAGTTATTTTGTAATCATTTCTACAGGTCGCCATTGTTCTGACTTAATATGCCATTAATTTAATTAAAGTAAGATTTTTAACTCAAGAAAATGTATTCAATTTGACTCAATTTCGTTTATTATTTACTAAATGTATACATTAATATGGACATTGTTTATTTTGAAATTAACTACAGAAATCTATTGATTTAACTCTTGATACAAATGGAAGTTAAAAATAACAAAATGTTATAATATTTTTTTAAACTCAGGGATTGGGTTATCATTGCTTCTTTAATAGCTAACAGTGTATCACTTGAAAAATAAATGGATTCAACAGAAAGAAAAGCATAAAAATGTTTAGATGTATAATTTTCATAATAAGTGTGTATTGAGTCTTGAAGCGCAGATTGAATCTTCTTTCGTTTTTTTTTCTTTTTCATCTCCATTATAAATATGAGCAAAAATTGATAGGATAAAGATGTTTAACAATTGCTTTTCTCTGTTGAGTCTCTTCAATTCTCATTTACGGGGCACGTCAGTGGTTCGATATGTCGACGATAAGATAAACGGAGAGAGTAAAAAATCTTCCAAAAGACAAAAGTTCGCGTGTCGAAAAGGGAGGGATATGTGTACGAAAATTGCGCGCGATTGATATTCGCGTTGCTCGCGGATATGGTTCAATTGGACAGCGATCGCGATTGATCGATATGCCGTAAGAGCAGTCGTATTTCACAATTTTAATTACATCGTAGAAAGCCGAAATACACGTATAAATATTGCATAAAATTTTTATCATATAATTTTCTCTTTTGCGATGGTTAGGAATTCTTTAATGTGTCTCTTGCATTTCACGTCAATCAATTCGTGGCTCTTCACGAAGTAATTAGATTTTTCATGAAATACTACAACATATACGTACAAAGAATATTCAAATATGGGTCGAAGAAACCCGACGATGTTCGCCGCTTTTTCATGTAAGCGTATTTTCCGGGCCACACATTGAGCCTCCACATTTAGCGCCGAATACGGCTGTTTTATTTGTTCATTTGGCTATTATATTATTATGAATGGCCTTTCATTAGCCTTTCATCAGATATACACGTTTAGCGATAAATGTCGGATGTCAATACGGACTGAAATTAATGGGGGCTTGATTCACACTATCAGGGACGGATTTAATTGAATTGAGATATTGAAAATTCTTTTCGGAAAGTGAGGCTATTTTTGTTTAACATACTCATAAGAAAATAATTTTACACTAACTTATAAATTCCTATATATTATTACATATATACTTCTTTCATATTATTACATTATTTATTACTCAATTATAATTAATTCTACGATATTTTTAAATCAAATAACGCATTAATCATTTATTTTATGAATGTTAATTACGCAACACATACAAAAATTTATATTTTCACGCGTAAATTCCGAAATTTATTATTATGTCTGTAATTTGGGAAACATAAGTTTAATATATATTTAATTATACAATTAAATTTCTTATGAAATTAAAAAAAATACATCTTATATTACAAAACGCAGTCTTATATGATATTAATCTTATTATATACATTACACATAAAAAATCGAATTATTATCTACACAAAGTATGTACTTTTTTCTATCTAAATAATAATATTAAATTATCAAGTCTTCCCAATTGGAAGATTTTCGAGATTAAGATTGGACATACACTTATTTGTTAATACTGAGTTATTGCAAAGCGTCACTGAGCCCGTAGTTTGAATCAAGCCTTTTATACATTGTCTCTGGAAATGTTAACAACGAACAATTTACGACGACGATCGATATGTTACAATCATGGACGTTGCGTAATTTTATCGATCGCTCATTTAATGCTCTTTACAGAAGCGAGCAATCGTTGTTTCCTTCTGTGTAACTATTGCAGCATTCGCCAGCATTCGCGAATTATATTACGATCATTATTACAGCGTTTCTTCAGTGTCTTAGATCGAGTTGCATTTAGTTAAGTTCGATTGCCAACAGTGCGATAAGTCTCGACAACTTTGTCATTCAGCATTTTTTGGCAACAAAAATTTCTTTCCTTTTTTTTCAAACATATTATATATTATTTTGCACTTTTTTTACAGTTTAAGTTCGTACGCGAAAGAACGATTTTTAACTGAAATATCTAAAAATTTAGTTAGACACAGATCTAAAAACAATTTTACAGAACCATTAAAATAATTACACAGAAATCTCAAGCGATGATGAGTAATGTTGCATAAAGTTTCGTCGCTCTAGCAACCAGTTTAAAGCATAATTAATCTTACATAATTATTTTGATGGTCCAATAAAATTTATTTCAGATTTAGATTTTTAGATACTACAGTAAAACCGTCTTTCTATATGAAAGATATATTTTATGTCTGACTATACGTTGCATTTTCTACTGCAACTTTTTCAAGTTTGCGCGATCAGTATATTATTCTATTCGATAAACATTCGATATTGAAACAAATTCGTATGTTTTCTTACACGAGAGCACTTTGTACTAATCGACTTATTTTTTTGCGGGATTTAGCACAACGTTGGCAAGCAAATAACGTTATGACGTTCGCAGCAACTAAAGTGGATTACGGTCTCTTGGTAGGAAAACAGTGAAATTTGACGGTGTCTCTCAACGTCACGCGTTATCAGGGGCATTGTAGAAACGCGCGTCGTTGAATGTACCGGTGTATCGTATATACCACGGGATTTCTCGAGAGGCCCTTCGTGCCGCTGCTATGATCTTATTTCACGACGTTTACGTGACCGGAAGGAAGCGTTTCCGCCGCTCGTGTACCACCGGTGGTAATCACGTAAACGTCCGTCGAACATTTCCAGCCTGTTCTGTTCCGTCACTTTATCTATTCGCGTGGCATTGCTACGAGAATCGCGAGATCGAAGATTGACGATTCTGCTGGAACACTTTATATCTCTACCAACTTTTTTATGAATTTTTCAAAGAACGAAACAAATTTAATATCTTTTCAGGTAGTTCTTCAAAGAACTTTATAGTTAGCATTTTTAATAATTTTCCTAGATACAGCATAGATCTTTAAGAGATGTTTTAAAGACATCCAGAGGACATTCCTACGACGTTCCTCGAATAATAGTGTGCTGCGTGGATGTTTAGCGTTCACATAACAGATTTTAGGTCATTAGTGTTTCATTATTAGCGTTTGCGGAAAGAGATAAGAATGGAAATGTTTGACGGTCTTTAAATTATCAACAACGGTTGCGTACAAGGTAAGAATAAATTCATGTCGATTAACTTAGGCGTTTAGCTATTTTGTTCGAAGGGAAGAACACGTTCACATCATTAGCTCGACATGCGTGCATGTGGTTGTCCATATATTGTATATGTATATATATATATATATATATTTATTTATTTATGTATATGCGTGCATATAATGCGCTCTCTTGAGTCACGCGAAAAATAAATGATGCACATCGCGAGCATCGTTCGAAGGCTAATCCGTGAATTGGTTACGATAATTAGGTCGTTACGATGATCTTTAGGACCGGTTACAGTATGGTACACTCTAAAACGAATAATTAAATTCGTTATTTAGCAGCGCGTGTGGATTTATTTACAGGTCACTCGCGCAAAACTTTCCCGCGCGTTGCGTTCTCTTTCGCCGTTCGTGCACACGTCTCGTTGTTGCATTTTTGGATGAATTAATTTATCGGGATCGGCTGTGTCGATTGTAGATTGTTGTCGTTATGTGGAAAATCTTGCTGTTGCATCCTGTCGTAACACGGACATTCTGGTAAAATAAGTTGGTAGAAAATTCGCTTAAAATAGCATTTCATATTTCTTTAACATTAAAATGATTTTGAAATTAAGCTTAATTAGAACTTACTATACTTTATTTATTAGTTCATAACTGAATGGATCGTAATAATTTAATAATTTAAATCGAATATTTTTGATATACTGTTTCAATATTTATATAAATGCAATAGACATTGAAAATTGAAGCTCTTAAAGAAATCAACAAGTGTCTAGCTTTTACAGATTTAATAACTGCTTTCTCTCTATAAAATAAGAAACGGGTAAAATTTGAACGGTCACGAACTACGCTCACAGCAGCCATCGACAACGTTTATGCACGTAAAATTTGACCCCGATTTTTGTCCATCGAGTGGAATGTAGAATCCTTTGTATATAAGTGTACGTATAATATATATATTTATATATAATATATTTATTCTCTTGCGCATTTGTAAAAAGCCTCCCCTACCTAAAAACAACGTGTCGTGACGCGTGAGTTTGTCTACTATACTGGCGATAAATCAACAAGTCCTTTAAAATACATATTTCCTCTATTTCCGGGAAATCCATTTAAATCTCTCTACCGAACACTCAAACATAACACCGATTTATCGTTTCTTTTTTTTTCTTTCTTTCTCTCCCCTCGTTCTTTTATGTCGCCGTTGTCGTTTCTCGCCGTCTGCATGCGCTTTAGTCAGTCTTGGCATCGTAAAACGAATCATTTAAGTGCTTCAGTACAACTTATAAGTAAGATTCTACGACGAGGTTCGCTTTGAGCGAGCCTCGCTTTCTTTCTTTTTCGCTAAATTCGCCACATCCGTATACAGATAGATTCATACATACACATATGTATCAATATTATTCTCGTCACCTTAAAAATATATTATTGTCTTTCGATGAAAACGTAGCACTTAATTCGCCGTTCGCTTTTGCTTCTCTTTATTCTCCTCTTCATTCGCGATGATGATCTCGATGACTCTGGTATTTGAACAATATAAACGTGAAATAATCACGACCTTCGCAACTCTTTTCTACTTTTAAACCATGATATGATTGGCTTGTGAATAGTGAATGATCGAACGCTGCTACTACGACTGAGTACTTCTCTCTTTATCCCTTATTAATTATTTATTGGATGGCCCTATGAGAAAACAGTACTCGCGAAGTTTCTATAATACGTCGATAAATCCCTAGTAGTGTCCGCACCTTTCACGCGATATAACAATAGAGTCACGGTTCTCTGATTTTAGTACAGCGTAACCGTCTCTTTAAGTAGACGACCCTGCATTCTATAGTGGAAGTATTTTGGTTCTCGTTCTGATTCCGGCTTCATTTAGAAGTTTAAGTTTTAAACGAACAATGTCTGCATTTTTCGATTATAATTCTGGATTTATTATCTTCATTATTTTAAATAGATATGGCTGTTGTTTAAGATCGAAGGTCAATCCTATGTCAGATTTAAATCCATGTTCTTCCAAAAATATCATGAATGATTTTCGAGAATGGAAGCTTTAGACAGTTCTGGTCCTACGAAACTCTGGTCCTGTTGATACATCTTACAATAAGAGATCAAATTTTTATTTTCTGAACAGTTTTTCAAATTCTATCTGTTTTTATGAAAACTTCATTTTTTTTCGGGAATATTGTACCGGAGTGCGGCTTTGCTTTTCCCTGAGAGACGCACGTTGTGTCAAGAACCTGATGCGATTCGCGTGAACGAGGACCATTTCTTCGCACAACTTTGGCAGGAATCAATACGTCGCTCGATCGGATTGGACATGATTGTTTCACACTTCGTCTCGACGGCGAATCTTCGTTGCACTTCGTAGTCTGTTAGTTCTGGGAACACCAGAGACGCCTGCCGAGTCTCCAACGACATGGGATGGGGTTGACGATCGTCAGGATACGTTATCGTACTTGTCGTTGTTGATATTTAGGCGATCGTCGATTTTGGTCCGCCGCGTGCGATTTACGCGTAAAGGGCTCGCATTCACATCGCGCGATCAACTCGTCGACGATGGTAGTGTCATCGGGTCGACGAGATTCTTTGACATCGACGTCGCATTGACGATCGTCGGACTCGGGGTTCGTTATCATACGTCGTTGTCGTGGCAGAAGTCGATCTTTCGTCTAGTGAGTTGTAACCGACGTTTGTCGACGATGAAGTCCGTTACACAGCCCTTGATGCCGCGATGGCCGGGCTTGCCGCCGACGAAAACCTTGCCGTTGGTTGTCAGTAAAGTTGTTTCCATCGAAACTTTGACAGGCATATTCTCGTCGATCTGAATCGTACACGCTTTTCGTCGTCTGGACGCTCGGATGTGATGGAAGACTCCGTCGTCCACTCTCTCCTGCAAAATTACATAATACAATATTAATAATAATAGTGAGAAATCAAATTTTGGAAATTTTTTGGGAAGATAATCATGTTGATGAGAAATCAAATTTTGGAAATTTTTTTGGAAAATAATCATGTTGATTAATACTAGAATTCAAAAATGCCAATTTGATCATTTTCTATTTTTGTTTTCGAAAGTAGTTAATATTTATATCATTAGAATTATTTGTATTATATTGACATATAATACTTTCAATTCATATATTCTCTTTTTGTTGTATAATATCAAAAAGAATATAAAAGTAAAAAGAGAAGGAAAGATTAATAAAATTGCAGCGGAGAGTAAAAATAAAAAAGAGAATGATATCTATTAAATCAATATAACAGCGCGCTTACCTTGCTCTTTACGGATATTTCTTCATCAATCTTGCTCTTATAAGTGAGCACCACGTGACCATCATGCAGGGACAAAAAGAGGTGCTCCAATTTTCCTCTTCCCACCCATGCGATAAGACCGTCAGGATGTATCGTCCTTAGCCGCAGCTCAAATTTATTCGATTGCTGCCCTCTGCGTCTGAACGAACGTATTCGTAATAACAGATATTTGTTAAAAAAAAATTTTATTTCAATTTCAAAGCTAAACACATGCTAATAATTTATACTACGAATCTACGTACTTTTCTACACTAGATACGCTTAGATGGGAAGTTAAAAAATTAATAAATATTAAAAAAAATAAATATTAATAAATTATAAAAGAAATTCTTTAAAAATTTTTTTATCCGCCATCATTGGTTTTTTTAATTTTAAATTTTATGTATCAAATAGAAAAGGAATAAAATTGCGATTTATTAAAATAATATTATTTTTATTAAAATAATACATTATATATATTTTGTATAATATGCAACAATTGTACCATTGACAAGAATTATTGTGAGAAGCCCATCTAATTGTATCCATAATTACGATGTTACGTCGATTCTATGTCAATTACATTCCCTATTACGCAATCAAATAATTGGCTCCGCCGGAGTGATTGCCAGGAATGTGATTATCAGAGTTTGTTATATGACACTACCATGCGCGAGCAGGAAAATCAATCTATCCCTCAAACGAGTACATCACACAGCCATTTTCCATTTTCTAGAAAACTTACTCCGTGTAATCGTAATTGTCGTACTCGTAGTCGTCGTCCTCCTCCAAGTCGTAGTCGGAGTAGGACTCCTCAAAGTACTCGCCGAGGGTAGTGTTAGTCGAGTTAGTACTAGTTGGTGGTTACATAATCAGAAGGTTAGTGACAGTAGTTATAATCGGGAACACTAATTAGCCTAGTCGTTGAGCGACCGAAGTTACTAATTTTAAGTGCACCTAATCAAACATCCTAGAGGATGTGCCGATCTATAATTCGATCTATATTTCGATTGTCGTTTCTTCGGTTAATTCTAACTGAGTATTACTCACCTTCTTCCGTAGCGATGTTTAAATTGCAGGAAGTTATCGCCTTCGAAGCGTACAGGTCGCTCCGATATCTCGGTGCCAGACACATCGTAGCCCATAACTAAAAGAAATATTTGTGTTTAAAATATTTGTGTTTTTTTTTCTAAAACTATAAATTTAAAATAATTACGATATAATTGATCAAAAGTTAAAATATGTTTTAATTTTCTAAAGATAAAAAGTACGTAATATTTAAGTATATGAGATTATTAAAAAATCTACTTTACGTTATCGAATATATTTCTACGATATTAATATTATAGAAGGATTTAAATAAATTTAAACAATTATAAATGGATTAACAATTTTTTTAAGAATGAATAAGGAAACAAAAAAATATTATATATGTAGAGAGATACAAAAAAAATTGAGAAATAATGAAATTGCGAGGAAAATGCTTACAGAATTCGCAATGCAAGCCGTTGTAACCGCTAGCGCATTTACAGAGATAACTATTCAATAGAGGAAGGCAGACTCCGCCGTTATGGCAAGGATTCTCGTTGCTGGGACACGGTAGACCGTTGTAAATCTCCGTGTTGTGTTGAGTAACATTCACGGCGAGGTTCTGATATGTTTTGCCATTTACCATTAGTCTCTGTACGGCGCCTACTAATCCGGTCCAGGCTCCGGACAGGCGGTGAACTTCTCGCCAATGTCTATGAAAACAAACAATCGTGATCATATATAATATATATATATGTATATATATATATATATATATATATATATATATATCATTCGTTATTCAGGTAGTATATATCAGTGACGTAAATTTATTTTTTATAACACAATAATTGAACGTTAGAATGTACGCATGATGGATGCTGTTTTTATTATATAATAATTCCACACAATACACTTTATTCGAAGGACATCTTAGAAACGTCCTTAAAAAGGACGTTTTCTAAACGTCTTTAAGACATTCCTTAGAGGTCTGTGTTATAGGGATAAGTATAACAATATGAAAAATATGTTCTAATTTAGAGCCATGAGCAATAATAAAAAGTAAATATGTATTTTAATGAAAATAACTCACTTGACACCACCAACGTAAAGCGGCATTTCCAGATTCAATTCCGTAAGAGGACTTCCAGACAATCCCCTGGCGACGGTTCCGTCGTCAAGCTGAAGAACACCCTCTCTGCCGAGTCTGTTAATCCTCACGCAGTGCCACATATCTCGACTGACCAGATCCGGCGACGTAATGTTCGCAATACCACTACCGAGATGACCTTAACCAAATTTGAGACTGAAAACGCCCCCCCTGCCATTATTCAGCTGACCGTTGTACAGTAGTAGGCCGTCATTTGCGCGCGTGAGAAACCATAACTCGATGGAGAACGCTTTCGCGACACCTTCCAAAGAGGGCAACTCCAAATATCCATTCCCGTTCATCTCGGGAATCAACAATTCTGTCAATTCGGCGTCCACTGAAAAAAAAAAAAAATTTAATAAATCAAAACATAAGACATTAACACTTTCTATAATAATAATAAGTTAAATTAATATAATGTTATTATATATATAATTTTTTTTTAAATATATCTTCTAATTATAAACAAAATTTACATATAGAAACATTATTAGGCATCAAGTTTAATCAGTCTTGACCATATTTGGTGCTTCTTTGTTTATTTGTTTTAACATTTTCTTTTTTGAAATTATATTGGAAGCTTAATATTTATTTGTAATAAAAAGAAGAAACAAGATTGACCAGGAAAAAGTTTTTTCTCCTAGAAATATCAGATGCTGTTGTACTTACGGATCTCGCAATGCTCGCCAGTTCTACTAGGCGGACACTTGCACACATATCCTCCTTGCGGCAGGATGTCGCAAGTGGCACCGTTTTGGCAAGGTTCGCCGACGCACGGATCCAGCGATTCTTCGCAGTTTCTGCCGGTGAATTGCGGTGGGCATATACACCTGTAGTCCGGTGGATCGTACTTCTCCACCGCATAATTGCCGTGGTCGTAATTTTTGTCGTACTGTAGCTCGGAAACGTATTCGCCTCTCCTCGCATTCTTCTTGGTCCTTTTCTGATCAATCGACGTGCAGTGAGAACCCTTGCATCTGACTATGTTCACCCCGCCGCTTTTGCCGTTGCCACCTCTGTTCTTGTTTTTACCCCTCTTCTGTAATCTCCTGCAATCCCGGCCGTTACATAAGTCTTCTTCAAAGATCGGTTGACATGTCGCGCCGTTTTGACAAGGCAGATTAGCGCACGCATTGTCGCCGCATTCCTTTACGCGATAACTCTCGAGAACGTCCCTATCGTGACCCACGTGGAGATCTATGTTGTTTCGATTGATTTTTAGCTTGCGTATGCAGCCGAGGAGTCCATGGTTGGTACCAATGTTGTCATAGACCCTGTTTAGAAATTTCTTATGTTCTTATTCTATTTTATTATTTAATATCTAAATCTGCAGGAGATACTACTTTAAGAGTTAAGAAAAGTTTCTTGATCTAAAGAGGCAGCTAGTTCATACTTCGACAGAGTTTGAATTAAATAATTCTTGAGATGTGAAATGGTGAATATGAGTTTAGAAAAATTGATTTTGAGAGAGAGAGAAAGAGAGAGAGAAGGGGGGGAGGGAGAGAGAGAGAGAGAGATTTTTGCTAACGATTTAATAAATTTTAATCTAAATTATTTATTTCAAATTTTGTTTTTTCTTTCGATTTTAATCTTTTTAATAACAAAAATTACTTGGCTTATTAAATTTTGAGATTAAACTCTTTTAAGACTTCAACAATTTATTATAAATATTAAAACTTTTTTAAGATTTAAGATTAATAATATATAAAAAATAGTACAAATTTGGAAAAATTGATAATTTTATATGGGAAAGCCTCTCTTTTATTTAATAATATAACATTTTAGAATATTACTTAGTATAATTAGTTGGCATGTTTCCGATGAAAGTATCCTGATTCAAGTCCAAAGACTTTAGCATTCCCTGACTTTGTCCGGCCACGTCTTCGCCGTCATTGAAAATTAATACTCCATCCTTATGATATCACGGGTCCATTGCCCAAGTTATATCTAAACTGCACGTATCTGAAGTACACAATTATTTATGAACTCCACAAATTAGATAGAGATCAGCTATTAATTCCAACAGAAAGTTTTTACGTATTTTTTTTCGCTTTTGTATTCTTTGTCACTGTCAAACAGTTACGTCAATCAATTCTATATAGCTAACATTATCATGATATTATCTTGATATTTAAAGCGTTATAATTATCTTGACATCTCGAAATTAAATTAATATTATTATCTTAATAAGTATCTCGACATTATTAAAGTTACAAGGTAAAAGAATTGGATACTGTATATAATATTTTCTTCAGAAAATGTATATTTTTTTAGATAATCATAATAAAAAATACCAACCCATCGACAATGGCCAACGAGACAAAGTCGCCGGAGCCGTCATTTTTCTGCTGATTATACAGTATGATTCCGTTGTCCGCATACGTTTTAAACTCAACCTCGATGCTGAATTTGTGATACGCTTTTAGCCGATTCATCCTTACGTAGCTTTTGCCATCAAAGGAAGGTATCTCATAATCTCGCTTGTTGATCTCCTCGTCACAAAGCAGCCCGGTGTAATTTGGTCGACAGATACAAACGAAAGTTGCGCTGGGCAAATCGATGCAGGTCGAAGTCATGTGGCAGGGATAAGAAAGACACGCGCGAAATTCTTGAGTCGGTGTCACCGGAACGTAATTAGCTAAACAATTGAATAGCAATTAAGCGAAAATTAATCTTCATCTGATCACGATGACATTGATAATTTACCGGAAGCTGAGCTTGCGATTGAACATAAAAAAAGGTGGAAGAATTAAGAATTTCGTAATTTTTTAAATCTCTTAATTTTAACCATGTCCATTATTAGTAATTAATATTTATTTGAATAATCTTCAACGAACGCGTTAATAAATAATAAAAAAATCACTAATACGAGATTTAATCGGTACAGTGTTTTACGTGAAAAATTTATAAATCGTGAAAAGTAATAATTAATTAATCGAGACTCTCTGTAGACCCATTTTTACTAAATGTAAGATTAACTTTAATTATGATTTAATTTACTTTTTTCAGTTTTAAAAATTAAAAAAGGATAAAAAACAAATTAAAGAAAAATTAAAGTTAATCCATTTCATCATAGAAATAGGCATTACCGAAGCACTCTTGCCGATCGCTGGTTTCCGCGTAGCCCTCGGAACAAATACAGCCGCCTTTTGAGCATTCGCTGTTCGGTATAGTACAATCTTTATCGTCGTTGCAGAGATCACCCAATAGAGCGGTGACTACTCGAATCGTTGCTGGTGTCGGTCGATACACTGCGGCCACTCCTGTAAAAGTTAAATTTTTCATCATACCCTTCACTGACAAAATCAATAATTCGAGTTTTTATTAAGAAAAAATAAATTTTTTAATCGCCCAGGACTCTTGCCAATTTATTTCTAAGACTATCTGGGAAAGATAAACAACTTTGATAATTTTATTTCTCAACAAACTTTATATCAGTCTATTGAATTAACTAGTTCATTGAACTAATTCATTAAACTCTGCGATTAAATGTGCAATGAATTTTGAATTATTTAATATAGTTATATATAGAATTAAATATATTTCTGCAATTTTCGCATTGTCAAGTATTATCAAACGTGCCACATTTCAAGCATTGCAAGCAATTTTGAAGCATTAATGTTTTGATCGTGTTAATCTACAATTAACGATAAATCAATAACATGGTTAATAAAGTAGTACATTACATTATTTTATTTAGTCAGTTGTTCCAATAAAATGATTTAGTAATCCGTTTTATATCTTAAAATGTTTTAAAATCTTGACTTAAGAATTATAGGCTCAGAAAGTTAACAATGTTTTCTTGAAGATAAACTAAATGTTTTTTACTTATTTCATTTTTTTTCTGAAAAAAAAAATACAAGATTAAAAGTCTCATGAAGAGTTTTGAAAAGAGGGGACGTTTCTTTTCTTTTTACCATGTTTTAAGTTATCTCTGTCGATGGTGATGGTTTCTTGATGAGCTCGATGGGTGTAATAATATCGTGGGTCCGGCTCGGGTACCAAAAGATGCCGCGTGGATTTGGACAATGGAGAAATGGCGGCTGCTGGTTGAGTATACTGTACAGCTGTGTATCTCTTAACGGGGAAGTCCGTATTAACCATAGGATCGTCTGAAAATGTTCGTGAATCCCCATTTCTTCATCATTTTCCCTTTTCACGTTCTTCATCAAAAAGTTTTATTCATCTCAAGGCTTATAACCAAAAATATTTATTATAAGATTTTTTTTTAATCAAATATGATTTTTTTACATTAATGATTAATGAGAATTAATAAAAAAAGATTATTATTAGATATATTTCGATGTGCACTATTATAATATTTTATTTATTATCTATATGTATTATTGCTTGAAGAGAAAAAAATTAATTAAAAAAATTTGAAGAGACCAAATATAATAAAAGATATTATATAAACAATTCGATAGAAGAACATATCAGTAAAAAAAAAACGGATTATAATTATTTCTAATCAGTTATATTTTTGTAAAAATTGATTTCCATTAGCATCGTATGTGACATATTATTCACCAAACTAGGTTCGCGTTTTGTCGCTGCGAACTGTGTGTGCGTATTCGTGTGTGTATGTGTATGTGGGTGAATGAAATTCTATCACATAAAAAAGAAAGAAATATTTAATTTTCCTCATTAAAAGTTATAACGATGGCGACGTTTGTGAATATATATGATTGTAAAATTGTAACAGAGAGAAAATTTTTACCGCTGCTTGGATATCTGTTAATTAATTTCGAAATAAAACTCCAGTCCTTTTTTGGAAGAGAGAAATTTGCAAAAAATAATAATTTCTTCATTTTGCTTCTGTTGATAAAACCTACAGTGTAGCATTATAGCATACATATTTTATTTGATATAAAAAAGATTATATAAAAAAATATAAACTAGAAGAGAGTAAAAAATAAACGAAATTTCAGTTGATTAATTTTTGCTCGAGCTCGAATAATTCTCATAGAATCTAAATTTTCGTTTGCGCGAATTTACGAAAAATCTCAGCGGAAGAAAACATCGTGGGAGGCGCCCATTGAGTTTTCCATAATGATTTAAGTTGCGATTCTGAAAGCTATATCTGAAAGTTTTGAGAGAGACTCGAGAACCTTCAGGAGCTGCTTCCTAATCTCGCTACTCATAGCGCTCCGTATCTCTACTTTTCCTCTTTCATTTCCATAAAATGATTTGTTTTAAAAATACCATTCTTTATACCGAGATAAGTACGAATAAATGCAGCCCCTTATTTTTTAGCTTTAATCCGGCAGATTTTCGCTTTTCTTCTTATAGGAAATGGAAATAACGTTACACAAAATTTTATGGAAATTATAAATCGAGTTATAGTCGATGAAGAATTGATAAAGGGATATTCTATTTCAATTAATCTTAAGATATTATAGTATATAGGATATTATTTACATCTTCATAATCAAGTGCCGTGTTTTGACTTTGTGTTCTAAATTAACTTTATCTTCAGATTAGATTCTAACGCTTCAGATTGAAATCAAGTTATATAACCGCGATAGCTTCATAGCAATGGCAATCTCCACAGGGCATTTATAGAAATCCACAGTTCTATAAAATTATCTCATTTCGTTTCTATTATTATATCCATTTGCGTGAAAAGGATTTGCGTCACCCAGACGCCCGAAGATGAGCGCGACGATGGCGAGACGGCGGCGTTCCTCTAAATAATGAAAATCGAAAAGCTAATTCTATCGGCGCGGCGTAACGTAAAACTGTTAACAGGAGTCGCAACGGCCTTAATGGGGTTTTAATTACTTTCCAATTGCCGCGTTGTTTCCTGTTATTGTACGTCGAGGACTTCCACTATTTTTTTCTCAACAATTGCCCGCCATCCGTCCTTCTCTCTCTTTCTCTCCCTTCGGATTCTGAACTCTCCTCTTTCCGAATCCGCTCTCCCGCGCATCCGACAATCCGTTTATTTGTCTCCGTTTAATCGATTCGTTTATTTACTTCCGTTGTGACAACGAGCTTTTCTCGTTCTCTCGCGCTGTCACTGCTGTGAATTCCCGCCTCTTCTCTTCTTCCGGAGCGGCTTCGGTCCATTTAAGGGACGAGGATCGACGACGAGAGGGGTGAGAAATATGATTTACGACGTGGAAATATGATCTGGCGTTTTACGATCGGCGAATCAATTTCTGCTTTGATGGGTATTTTTTTAATGTAGACGCCTAATGAGACGTTGCTTTAGCAAAGCTATACACACTGTTAGTTGAGAATGTATAGGAATCGATTGATTACTAAAAGATTCACGCCTAAATTCTAAGCAGAATCGTAAGATTCGTAACATATTTTTGAAAGACTAGTAAGAATTTTTAAGTACTTATACAATTATTTTTATAAACAGCTTTTTACTAACCATAGAATTTAAAAAATCGTAGATATTTACGAATAATCATCTTACGATACATAAAATTAGAATATTAGTCGTAAATTCTTACAAGTTTTACGAAAACACGTTACGAGTTTTACGATATTTCGCTTAGAATTGATCTATTAATTGGATTTTCTGTTTTTTTCTTTAATAGAACAGCAGTGAATATTTTCTAATAAATTCTAGCAAAGTTTTTCTAGATCTAAATTTTTTTTCGCGAAACGAACGTTACATTTTAATTTCCTCATCAGTTAAAATGGACCTTTTTAATATTAAAAGATACGTTTAATATTACAAAAGCTGGATTATGCAATTTGTTGAACATGGGGACTCAAGTTTTCATGATACAGTAGATTATACTAACCCCTGTGTTATATTGATTTATTGCTTTTTTTCTGTAGCAATTTATTTCAGGATGTTCCTTTGACGATACGAACATTTTCACATGAAAAAGTAAACGTCGGTCGCATCCGTGGATCTACCCGTTTTCCTTTCAGTTATCCCAGTACGCGACCCCGATATCCTCGCTTTTCGATAGTAACGCGATCATCGTAACTCGCGCTTGCATCAAGCGTATCGTATACTCGCAGGAGGTATATCTGACAACTGCGTCATTCGCCGTCGGTCTACAGAATTCTCCGGAAGGATAGACTACAGTATGGTCTTCCTTTGCACAGAAAGCCGAAAGAACCAGCCGTCACAAGAAATTACGGCATGCATTATTTACCAGGATCCAAAGTGCCGGCGTTCACATCATCCTGTCGTCCAATTCCCTTCCCCCCTTCCCTCTTGCTGTCGCCAACTTCGATCCTGGTGCATTGACGGGGATGAGGCGGACAAGAAGGGTACGTCGAATGGTAAGGAACCCCGTGACCATCCAGTGAAGTCGGCGTACACTCGATGAAACTGCTAGAGCGAAGTCGAGGGGAAGATAGTGAAGAAACAGTAGGACGAGGAGAAGGAAAACAGAGAGTTGGAGCGAAAGAGAAGGAATCCACGAAGACGGCGTAATCTGATTTATGTTTGACTCCAGAGGACGAGCCCCGAAGAAGAACTTTTTAAGAGATTGACTTTCAGCGAGAGAACCCAGACCGGCTGAAAGTGAGGGAGGTTGGGGGTAGAGGTGATGGGGGTAGAGAGGATGGGAGGGAGGCTGAGCAATCGAAAATAAGGGGTTGGGATTCGCGGGGAGAGCTGGAGACTTTAATAGATTCCGACGTTTCGCTCCGCGAACTTCGTCAGGGGTTCGGAATATATCTTGAGAAGTGCGAGGAAAAAGGAAGGAAGAGACGCGGAAGTGGAGGAAGTGCGATGGCGGTAGGAAGATCTCTCTTTCTTCTGTACTTTTTGCATGGTTTATCGCGGCGTGGGTGGGTTAGATTCACCAGTCCTGATTGAGTCCGAATTTAATGCCGGAATAATCAACGGTCCGCAAAATTAGATCGTGATCGCGGCGATCTCCTTTCCTTTGCTTGTTTGTAATTAGTTGAGGAACTCTCGCTAATGATGCGTACGCTCGTTACATCTATTGCCGGATCCGCGGGAAGAGATCGATTATGTGAGCACCAGAGTAATCACGCGGGAAAGCTTCGAGTTTTCGGACAACATAATTTTATAGTTCGAAAACAAAAAGAGATTCAAATAAATGGTAAAAAGTCTCTCCGCTGTAAACTACATTTTGCGTTTTTCCTTCGAGACGTAGACTATTTGCTATACGGAAAGTTTTATTGAAATATCTAAAAATTTTAACTAAAATTTTAATTGAATTTAACTAAAAAGGTTTTATTGAAATATCTAAAACTTTAACTATAAATTTATTTAAATGTAACTAAAAATTTGTTAGACTTAAATTTAATTTAAGAGAGTCGACTAAATATAGATCTGAAAATAATTTTGTTTAGACATCAAAATAATGCAGGATGTTCAAATTGATTGCTTATAGAATGTTAAAACTTTGCAGCATTGTCGTCAATAGACATTCCTTAAGCGTTTCTAGATAATTATTTTGATGGTTCAAGAAAAGTATTTTTAAATTTGTATCTAGCTAAATTTTTAGATACTTTAGCAAAATCTTTTTTCCATAAATCTTACTAATCGACGACGGACATTCAGTCATCCTTCGTCGTTTTTCTTTTAATAATTACAAAAAATTTTCTCTACGATGACATCTTTCACTAAAATTTTTCGATTTTTTTTGGACGAAGAAAACAATGCCGACCGAGAAAACTCTCACGACTGACAATTTCGGATAAAACTTTGTTGGCCGTATCTCTTTGTGAGGAGGCATGAAGGGAGAGAGAGGAGTAAGAGAGTTATGCGAGTCACGCGGGTTTAATGCTCGCGGCTGGACCGTCGGACTGCCGCTAGTTACCGTTCTGGATGTCGGTTCTTCTCTTCTGGAGACACGTCCCACGGGCGCCACTTAAGACGAGATCACGCTGGAAGTCCGCGGTGATTTAGTTAAAACCACCTTCGGCGCTCGCTCAGTTTCGCGAGTTAACGTTCGCCAACTTTCTTTATGTGCGAACGCGGTGGTCGGTACACCTCCGGGGATGCTTTAACACGACTCCGTCCGAGTGAACCTAGTTGCACACCTACATTCTCGTTACACTTCCGTATCGCTTCCAAGTAATCGCAATAAATCACTGAGCGATTTAGAAATTACAGTGACAAACCTTGAAAATCGCAGGCCAAATGTATGCAGAGATATAAATATGTCACATATTTAAACGTGTGTGATTTAAAAAAAACTGATTGAAACAATAATTAAAAATTAAATGAAACAATTAAATTTTGTATATTTATCAAACAAATAAAATCGATTTTAGAAATCAATCAAAACAATATAAAAAGAACAAACATGGGTTAATAAGAGTCACACGCGGATGTTAATGTACAAGTATATTCAAATTTATTATACATAAGTTAGCGTAGACAATAAACATAGACTGTACATGGAAAGTTTTGCTATAGTATTTAAAAATTTATTTAAATTCAGATCTGAAAATAATTCTCTTGAATCATCAAAATAAATATACAGGACACTCAAGTTGATTGCCAGAATGCCAAAAGTTTTTGCAGCATTGTTCATCATCCTTGAGATTTTCTATGTAGTTATTTTGATGACTTAACACAATTATTTGCAGATCTATCTCTAGATAAATTTTAAATGTTTCAGATCTGTAAAATTATTCTATCTGTTGTATCATTCTGTACGTTTCATATTTGAGTTATCTTTAGCATATAATTTGGTTGAAAATACTGTAATATGTTATAAGAATTATAATCAGACGTTAGACTGAGATTTCTTATACCGTATTACGATATTTTTTATCTTTATTATTTTATGCTTTATTATTTTATCGCTCAAATATTCAAACGAACCAAAATATATTATACATTCTGCGCCTTATTAACTTATGATAATAAATAGACTTGAATATACCTACTTATACTTTAACATCCGTATGACTCTATTTTGTTCTTTTTTTATTTAACCTACTTTATTCTTTTTTTATCGTTTTGTTTGTATATCTCCTTTATTAATTTCATCATTTATCATTTTTATACCTCCTTGCATATCGGATTTTTATTAAAAAATATTAATGCTAGCCAGTAATTATGTGATCGCTTCGATTACGATACTTTCAAGTAAATTATCTTTCGAATTTGTATCGACTTGAACATAAATCCATTTGCTTACTTTGCTTCCTTTCTTTCTCAGTTACTTTCGATCTGACTGTTACATTTACCGCGATTCGTATTAATCACAAGTGTTATTCACGAAAACGAGAACGTGTTGATTAAGAAAGCAAGCAAAGTAGCTGTGGTGATTCCGGGTGCGGTTGCGGGTGCGGGGGTTACAAACATATATATACATGTTAGTAGAAACTTGATGAGTTTATTATAACGTTTAGATATACAAAGTGGACTACTAGTTAGTTCTTCTAGGGTAAGCTGGGCATTTCTTTAATCAGACTTCTCCGTGAAGAAAGAATCTCCTAACGCCGCCGTCTCGTCTTTACCTTGTCCTCAATCTCTCTCGCAATTAACAACGTCCTCTATTTGAACAATCTAAATTGTTATAAGCCGATGTCACAGAGTTGTGCGCGGCCGTCCGACTGCTTTATTAGGCTACGGTTCTATCAGGTCGTCCTCGAAGGATCTCTGTTCTTGAAGGGTCTCAGTAACAATTATTTCCATGTATACTTAAATTCTTCCCTATTGTACAAATTTCCTGATAATGAACTCCTGAGCGATGATTGCATCTGTTGGTCCTAGCTACGCGATTATCTAAATTCTCCTGATTAATTTACAGAATGAGTCGCCGAATCACAGATAATAATTCAGATTGTTGGAGCAACTCAACTTACAACAATATACCGCAGTTTCGTAGATTGTTCGGAGATTAGTTTTACGTTCAATAGACGTTATTCGTCTCTTCTCGTATGTTCATCGGATCGTTTCAAAAATTCTATTCTGGAATATCCTATCACCGACGCGTTTTTCTCTGTTAACATCGCTACACAATTAGGCATATTCTTCTCGACTATGAGTTACGAGCATCGATTTCATCTATCTAACTACGAGCTGACTGGCAACCGTATTATTTGTAGTTTTTTTTTTATCTAAGGGGTATATGATTTTGTTAGAAGCTGCCCGTGTTTCTCACGATTTTCAGACATATTATTCGGGCTGTGTGTGTGTGTGTGTGTGTGTGCGTTTCTCTCTCAGTAGCGCAGAATGAAAAGCGACCTGTTCGGCGGAGTACGTTCAGTGAACCCACCTCTGCAATGGCCAAAGGCCTGCGTGACCACGTCGGCCTGATGGCCGCACGCGTAGAGCCGCAGCTCGCACTCGTTGTCGTAGGTCTGTCCGTCACTGCCGCATACCGGCACGGATGGTACATCCGCCGGGCAGGCAGACGGACAGACGCAATGTACGCCGCCGATCTCCGTGCAGTGGCCGCCCGAGTAGCACTCCAGCTCGTTGCAGCTCGTTGGTACGGGCGGTATCATGTCCGCTGCGGAGTAAAGCGGATTAAAGCGCGGCGTTAATAAAATTACGCCGTCGTTGTGAGACCGCGTTATGTCCCGGGATACCATCAGGTCTACCTCGCAGACTTTAGAACGTTATCTTAGCATCGGGCGGTCGAAGAATAAATAGAGTTTGACAGACCAGTTAGGGGACACGAGTTTAAAATTACGTTTTTGAGTTGGAATGTTAGAACAAGTTAGAAGAATGAATCTTCTTTTGATTCTATATTTTTATTTTATAAAGGGTATTGAAGAGTATTAAATCTTAGTTACTAACCGGTGCTTTTAATGAAAAATTTAAATGGTTATTGTTAGATATGATACCTGAGTAACAGCCGGTAGACGTGAGTATCTTGTTGTGATCGTTGCAGATTGTGCATTTTTGTCCCTGGATATCAGGCTTGCAAACGCAACGTCCTGTCATCTGTTCGCAGTCCTCTCTCACGGAACCGAATAGCGAGCAGCCGCATGCTATGTTTAAAAAGAAAAAGTTTACTTGCATTAATTTTTCACAGTAATAATTATAATGTGTATAAGGAATAAATATATCAAAGTCGATTAATTACACATATTCTTAATTACAAATTAAAAACTGAAAATGGCGTGCTAACTTCGTTAATTTAGCATGACACTTCCCCTCTAAAGTACAACAAAATTTTTTTTTTATTTTTTACTATAGTTTTAATTATATCTGATGGTGGAAAAAAGAATTATTATCTGGAATTATAGTATAGTCTGGAAAGTTTTTCATGCTTTGTTAAATACGAGAGGAATATATTCCAGCGAACATATTTTACGCAAATGCTTGTGATGACATATTCTCTGTGTATCTGTATCATATCACGTATGTTTGCGTCAAATGATTACGGTGAATAGAGAATCGTAGAGTATACGAGCTGATCCAATCTTACGTATGCATCCCTGATGACCCTCGCTTATCTTCGGCAGCCCCCAGTAACCCGGCATACATCTATCGCACTTGAGACCGCCCACACCAGGCTTACACTCGCATTGACCGGTTTCCGGGTTGCAGGTGTCAGACACGCTGCCGAGTCGGTTGCAACCGCATAAACTCGGGCAGCCCGCACCGTCCGGGCCGAGTGCGGCGGTTTTCCCATCCGGACAACAGCCGTGCCACGAGTCCGCGCATTTTACCACCTGGATACCGTGAACTAAAAAAACACGCAACTGTGAGCGTCGCGGAAACTTATAGGATATGTTGATCCTGCAGCGCAACTTGCTTGCGGTCGAGGGAATCACATTTCGTGAAGAACGTTTTTGTGATAACATTCTCGGAGATATTAAACTGTTATATATTAAATTTTTATAAACGATAATATCACATATTCAGATGTATATATAATATTGATATTTATTTAGACAAAAGTTTTTTCAATTGGTATTAATTAGTCGCGAAGAATCTTTACATGTGCCGCAAAATTTTGAAAAAGATAAAGAGCGAAAAAATTTAGAATTAAATAAAAAAATGAGTAAAGCGCGAAATAAAAAAATATTTTATAATATAAAAATTATGAAAATTACTTAAGGACGTTCTCCGAGCAGTTGTGCTTAACTTAATGAGCACATCAGTGCTCACCATTATGAAAATTTTTATAATTAAATTTATTTCACTTTTATTAGTGTAAGATATTCCATAAGTATTAAGTATTAATGTTTCTTTATACAAGTTTTTTTATGCAGTCGAAAAAGTAACTACTTTGCTACTTATTTTGCTCAATGATTTCTTAAAAACGAATACCGGAAGCTATATTCAGATTAAATTTCAAATTATTGTAATATCAAGTTTTATGTTTCATTATGTCCCATTTATGTTTCAAAAAATTGTTAAGAAAAATTTTTTTTACAGTGAATAAAAAGACCACTTTCGAATAAGCTTTAGATAGGGATCCTATGTATATGTATGTATATATGTATGTATCAATATATGTATATATATTTTAAATGCTTAAACTTTGAACTGGAATATCTCAATTAAGTTTCAGAAAAATCTAAAGAAAATGGATTTTTTCGGAGAATGTCCTTAAATTATATTGTATTTATTTTCATTTTAACAAACCGATATTACCGTAGCAATAAATTTTTTAAATCATTTTTAAAATACTAAAACTTTAAAACTGTACTGTTTATTTCTGAATATGTCATGTTACCGGTAAGAATTTATCCTGAGCGTACTTAATGATACCTCAACAAATTTGGTTCGCTATTTAATATGCCGCGAATTAAAAGATCGAAAAGAGTTGATCTAAATATGTCTTTGACATTAGGCAAATATCGGACAAAGTCTTCTTCTCGCTAACCTTTCTTGCAGCAACGAGCGAATCGCGTCGTCTGATGGCAGTAACTATTGCTAGGGCAGTCTTTGCGTTCTGGTCCACTACCACAGTCGTACTCTTTACCTTCGGAGTCCACTAACGGAGGATCGCCGTTGCAGGGTTTGACTTCCATGCCTGCGCGAACATCGTTATATGAGTAGAAAGATTTTTACTATCGTTATCCAATATTAATTTACGAAGCAATTTCTATATTGATTAACCCTTCATCGACCATGCAGAATTTTTCACTTTTCTAAATTTAATATAAATTTTTATATTGTTCCGGATTGTATAAATATTTGAAAAATTATTATATACTTGCGAAAGCTTTAACCACGAGTTTTTACTGTTACAGAATAGTCAGTCAGGTTGTATTTTACTTATTTTTTATAGATTTAAATTTACCTACAGAATTCACAATTAAAATCTCTGTGACTTCGAAGTCCAACTTGATTAGCGGAGAATTAATTTACGTTAAAATTCGTTAATATCATAAAAAGCGCAAGAAAAGCGTAGAGAGTTGTTAAAATATAGCTTCGTCCGTCTGTTGTCTCAATTAACTGGTCTTCTTGAGAATTCTGAACCTTGGCAGAGATCGAGAGGTCGCAGTCTGAGTTCCTGTTGCCTCTGGCAAGCCTCCATTTTCATGGCGCAGAGGGAGGAATAGATTCTGAGGTCGCTGCCGCAGACGGGCCGCATATTCTCCGGTGAAATAGAGGCGCAATCGAATCTGCAGCTACATCTGGGAAACTTGTCCGGGCCGAGCTCACAAGTCGCTTCGAAGTCGCAGTGAATATCCTTGCATGCCTCCCGCTCCTGCGTGCTAGTCACGTCGGCGATGGTAGTGACCACGCGAGTCACCGCAGGTGTCGACTTGGTCGCTGTTAGAAGCGGTTAGAAAGCGACTGTTAGAGCGGTTTATTGTTAGAGCATTATGCAGGCAAATCGTTAATGACATGCGGTTAACCTGGATCAGCGTTAGAGAGTCTTGGCACTTTAAGCGTCTCAACTCTTAGAGAACTTCTAGTAAGAGTCTGGATATGAGAAAGTCATTTTCGATTAATTCGTCATGTCTTAATAATTTCTGAGAGAGAGAGAGAGAGAGAGAGAGAGAGAAAAAGAGGGAAGGGGGGAGGGAGAAGATAAAAGAGAAGTAAAGAGAAAAATACGGTAAATGTATGTCCTTTCTCGCAGATTTTTGTTAAAACTATTATTTTGCATACAAAATTGTGATTCGTGTCCAGATTTTTAATAGAAGATCTCTATTCGAGTGAGTTTCCAGTCGTCTTATATAAAGGAATAGCAACGTCTAAAGATTACAGAGGAGATGCAAGAGATATCTAAACGTCTCTGGAACTTCATAAGCGTCTCACGCCTCGAGCGTTACGTTCAAAGGGATTGCAGATCGCGTTACGTTAGACGTCCAAACTCGTTGTCAAACCATAATGGCTTTTCGTTACATTGTTTGAGACACATCTGACACACAGAGCGCGAAATATCTCCAAGTGTTAAACATAACACGTGCGTTCGGTTGATTTTAAAGTTAAAGTATAAGTAAAATATACGCTTAATCACGTAAGTTTTACGCTACTGTATTTTGGCTATTAAAATTTTTTTACACACAGTGCGTTTCACTCCACGTTCGCGTTGATTATGAATTAACTGTGGAGGGATCTCCGCAAATGGATTTTGTGTGATATAAGAGGCGGCTGTATAGTTTCGGTAACGTACTCAATGCTGCTGCGGCCAATCTCTCGGAGCAGTCTCCATAAAATATGACGTGCAACGCCGACAACTTGGGGTCCCTGCCGCAGGCCGCCTGCTGCAGTTCGCACTCCGACCGGTAAGTTTTAAGGTCGCTACCGCAAACAAGCTCGCCGCTGCTCTCCGGACAGACCTTCGGACACACGCATACACCCGCCACGCAATGCGCCCCATGGTCGCATGTTACCCTGTCGCGATCGCACAATTCTGGAAAACATTCAGTTTTCTCTTTTTAGTTAGCTCGCAACATAGGCTTAGTTTTCACCGAGGGTTTAAACCGGATCAGAATGTAAGACCAACCAACCAACTACAGTCGAGTATTCCCCTTATAGTCGAACGACAGGGGAATGCTCGACTGTAGTTGGTTGATTCTTACATTCTGATCCGGTTTAAACCCTCGGTGAAAACTAGGCCATAGACGGATTACTGCTATAAATCTTAAATCTCTAAAACAAGTAATTCAGTGGATTACTATAATTTTCAGAAAAGAATATATACGCGCGTGTGTTTACACTTGGTAAAGTCTAGTTTTTAAGATGTCGAAAGAATCTAAAACAATAATATATACTTCAATAAATTAAAAGTGTGTTTTACTCTTGGAATAAAATTTTGATTAATAATAATTAATAATTAATATATTTATATAATATAATATAATATTTTATAAATACTTCATTTTATAGTATTTATTATAATACTCTCTACTGCGGTGGAAAAGGAAGGATAAAAAGAAAATCGTTTTACTTGGTCGCGGTTTCTTATCGCATTAGCTCTCATTCGCAAGACATATAAAATATATGCTGCTTACCGCAAGCACCCACGTAGCTAATGTTGATGAGGACTTGGTTCATGCATGACGCCCTTTTCAATGAACATTCGTTATCGTACGTTACACCATCAGAACCGCAAACTTTTGCCGCCTCCGGCGGGTCCTTCACCTGTATAATTACAAATTTGAATTTAATTTGAATAATGAATTAGGTTTATGGTAATAAATAAAAGATTAAGAACTTTGATACAAAATTTGATCTTAAAATAAAATCTTTGTCTTATAATATCTATTATAAAACCTGACGCTAAAGAAGAATATGTAGATACACAACGTAGGTATACAATTTTGTAATAGGAACGTGCTATATACTTTATGTCTTGCATTTCTATCCTTGGTTTCATATGGAACGTGGATTTTTGCCCAAAAATGATAAAACAAGACCATGTGCATGGCGAAGGAGCAGCAAAGGGTAATACGGAGAGTAAAATAAAAAGAAACAAAGGAAATTTAAAAGTAGAAGTTGAAAGAGGAAGCGGGAGTGCGTGTCTCACTTGTTGCGCGATACAGGAGTGCCGAGGGATGCAGAGGTGCGTTTGATGGACAGTAGGGTGAGGCTGGGAATAGGGCAGGGAATAGAGGAACAAGGGTCGAGCGGTGCAACAGCATAGGAAAGAGCGAAACTTAATTAGCTCTGCCGTCATATTCGCAGCTCCTCTTGTTTGCTTATTACACGCGCGTTTCATGCACTTGCCACCCTTCGCTGCCTGCCACAATTATATTGGTCAGTTGAACATGTACAGGGTGTCCAAGTAAAAATCGCACAGTCAATAAATTATTATTCCTTAACAAAGGATAACTTTAGGCTCGATTATTTTTCGCGAAAATGTAATGCGTAATTTCAATGCGCATTAATGCAATTAACACATGCGCGTATAATCTATCTTAATTCTGATTATTTATAAAATGCGAATGTAATTGCTAATTATTAAACTGATAAATAAATGATAAATAAATGAATGATAAATTTATATTTAATAATATTTAAAGCATAATTAATTGCGATAAATTGGCAGTAAATTATTGGACAGTGACTGTCACAGAAGTAATTGATAATTTATTTTAATAATTTGCATCTTCTGTTCGGAATATTTAACGTAACATACATATAATTACGCAAATAAACCTTTGGGAAAAAGTATTCATTTGATCTATTCAGAATTTCGAGAGAAAGGTATTCGCATGAATGGCTTTGGCCGTTTTGATGAGAAAGACGATGGTTATTATTACGGCCGTTCAAAATGCAACCACATCCGGTATGCGAGCTGCGGTGAAGTTTACGCTACGAGAGGGAGAGAAAGAGATAGACAGAAAGAGAAAGAGAGACGTCCGCATGATTTAGTTGGCTCTCTGTTAAGTTTAATTGACGTCAGTCAGCTCATTTTCTGAAGTTAATCCGCGTGCATACGCGGGCTCGTGGTTCGTGTTTCATTAAGAGGATTATTGTATGAGTTGTTCTCTACAATTATTCTACCTTAAATTAAGAATAAAATTGTCTGTTTAAGTCCATCATGCAGATGGCAACTCTTCTGAAAGGCGATGACTATGGCGATGACTTTGCTGATTCTATATCACAGGATTTTTCAACTGATGAATTGCAAAGGATCTTTAAATATGTCACGAAAATTTTAAGAGAAGGTAAAATGAAACGAAAAAAATTTAGAAATAAATAAGAAAGCGAGTAAAATGCATAGTAAAAATATTTTTTTAATTGTGAAAATTATATTTAAATTATATATATTTTGATTACTCTATTTCTAATTGACACGACGATACTGTCATTGTAACAAAATCATTTTTTAAAACAATAATATAAAAACTAAAGAATTTTAGAATTTTACTGTTTATTTCGTATTAACGGTATTTGATAAAAGGTATCTTGACAAATTTAACTAGTTATTTAATGTGCCGCGAATTGAAAAAGGTTAAAAAAATGCTCTATCACATTGCTTTGCACAAAAATATTTGAAAAATTCAACGTGTATCAGAAATTAATATTTAATTCCGGTAATTTAAGCGATTTCCTGTCGGTCGCGCAGTCGATTTTACGTTTTCCTCCGGGGAAACATGTGGAATTCGAAATTTCCATTGTGAGTAGAGAGATCGCGTCGTCGATTCACTGATACTCCCCAATAAGCATCCGTGACCGAGGCGAGTGGACTTTCTCTCCCGGAAGAGTACCCTGCGGAAGTCGTCCGCAAGGTTCCAATACGAAGCCTGCCAATCTAATCCTTTTCTCAACTCTTTTTCCCCGACGTTGAATGCATCCCTTATTCCGCTCCAGGTCTCCTCACGGACGACCACGGAGCGACATCGAAGGAATTCGGAATTGTGTTCGCCGTCTCGTCAGCAGGACGCTCTGCGAATCGTGAAATCCAAGCCACTTCGCCTATCGCCTGTCGAAATCGGCTGAATTTTCCGCGGAGCCGCTATCTTGATGAACCAACATGCTTTCCATTCTGAATGCACGCCGTGACGGGCCGGGAAATGCGAGAGATAGGAGGAGAAAGAGACTGTAATATCCGCGCGTGCAACCGGATACGAAAAATTATTTATCGGAAATCGATCCGGGATAGGCAAATAAATCCGCGGAGATTGAAGTTCCGTGGAAACAAACCGGATTTTAATGTATCAGCGCGCATCAAATCGTTACTATCAAGCAGTTATATAAAATAAGCGGAAATAATATAAGCACGAGAGAATCATCTCAAAAATTGCGAGAAAATAAACCGATTCGTTGGAAGTTTAATAATATAATTATTTTTCATTATACATTAGATATGTAATCTTAGACGCAAGGATTTTATGCGGATCGTATGAATCTTTATAGCAAATATCGTATATATATATATATGTACATAAAAGGAACGATTTAAAATATCTAAAATATTAAAAAATTTAATTAGATATAGATTTAAAGATAATTCCCCCCCCCCCCCCCCCCCCCCAAATAATCATGGAGAAAATTCAAGCACGACGAGAGCGATGTTGTAAAAAGTTGTGACATTCTAGCAACCAGTTCAACTGTCACATAATTATTCTGGATCAATAAAATTGATCTATCAAGCCAAATTTTAAATATTTCTGCAAAACTGTTATTTTTGTGTATTGCAATAATAATTATCATAATAATGATTTGTCATAATTTACATAGAATATTCCTTCGCTAAATAAATTCATAGCACGCATCGAAAGATAAAATGCATCGGACAAAGCTGCGTGGGCGAGAGGAACAAAATGTTAATTAAATTTCTTTCTTCACACACATGTTTCTCTGTTCATTCTTCACATCGCGACGCCTTGAAATACCGCTGAAATTTTCGATGTTTTGTGAAAGAGCTATTGACTATTGTCGCCTAATGAAACATGAAAACGTCATTCATGCCGCAAACGAAGGATATAATAAACTGGTCGTGTTGCGAAACGCCGCACCGTTGATGGAAAGTTTTGAAAATAGCGTATGCAAATGCACTCGATCCCTACTTTCTTCC